TTCTACCAGCAGTTAGTAAGGACTTCCCTACTTTGTTTCAGTAGTTGTCACTTGATATCTTTTTTCTTTTCCTTTTTAAAAAAACTTCTTATTGATTCTTTATGAATTTCACATCATGCACCCCAGTCCCACCCATCTCCCCGTTCCTCTGTATCTGCCCTCCACCCTTGTAAAACTCCCCCAACAAACAAATGAAATCTCGCTATGGAACTTGCAGTGTGTCACAGTGTGTCACACAGTACACTCTTTTGCCCATATAGCTTTCCTTGCAAATGTTCACTGCAAAGAGTCATTGGTCTGGTTCAAGACCTCTGGTTTCTGCTACACTATCAATATTGGATCCTCTCTGGGACTCTCCTTTTGATATCCTGTTGACGCCCTGTGTCATGGAGATCCTGCAGTTTTGGTTCTTCAGGGCTGGCCCCTTCACATGCTCCAGCACTTCTTAGATGGGATAGATGGTAGCTGACTTGGTCAGCCTGCCTGTTTTTCTCTGCCTGCTCCACTCGGGCCAGCTCTCCTGCTTTGCCCAGGCCAAGGGCAGGGCCAGCACTTGAGTGCTGCAGCGGGCGAGGGGTGGGCCATCTCTCCCACTTTCAGGCAAGCTCCGATGTATGTATAGCTAGTAAGGTTTCTTTCCCATCATGTACGCGGCCTCTTCACTCAGTTGCCATTTCTTTTGCTTTACAAAAGTTTTTTTAATGTAAAAAATTTCAATGTATTAAGTGCTTTTTGTCTTTCTTAAGTAACCAGAGTCTTATTAGAAAGTCTTTGCCCCTTTATTTCTGCTTTATTAATTTCAGTGCTCAGTTTGAGTATTTCCTGCTATCTGGAAAGGGCATTTCATGGTCAGGTGAAAGCCTGGCACAAGGGAATCTTCCAGGAATCTACAAGAAAGATTCCAGCTTAGACTCCTAGCAATAGCAGATATGTAGCCTGAACTGGCAATCTCTTGTGACCAGACTGGTCCCTAGCCAAAAGTCATCAGAGAGGAGTCATCTAGCAACTGATGGTAACAGTTGCAGTTCCCACAGCCAAACATTACACGGAGTTTGGGGAATCATGCAGAAGAGGAGGAGAAAGGATTGTAGGAGCCAGAGGGGTAAAGGACACAAGAAAACTCACAGAATCAGCTGACCTGGGCCTTTCTGAGTTCACAGAGACTGAACCGAAAACCAGGAAGCCTGCATGGGACTAACCTAGGCCCTCTGCATATATATTACAGCTGTGTAGCGTGGTCCTCTTGAGGGACTTCTAACAGGGAAAGCAGGACTATCTCAGACTCTTTTACTGGCTATTGGGACCCTACTCCTCATACGGGGTTGCCTTGCCCATCCTTAATACCAGGGGAGGTGCTTAGTCTTACTACAACTTGACGTGCCATGCTTTGCTGATATCCATGGGAGTCCTACCCTTTGCCAAACAGAAATGGAGGAATGGATTGGGGATGGGAACAGAGAGAGAACTGGGGGAGGGACTGGGAGGAGAGAAGGGAGGACAAACTGCAGCCAAATAAATAGTAAATAAAGCTGTTTAAAAGAAAAGAAAGTCTTTACCTATGCTTCTATCTTCTTTTTTTAAAACCTAGAAGCATTTTTATCTAGAAGTTTCATTAATTTTTTGGTAGGGAAAGATCTTATATATAACCTACTTTATTTAATTGATAATATTTAATTCTTTCTTTTGTTTTTGTTGGAAATATAATTCATCCGTTTATTTATTTTACATCCCAGTCACAGTTTTTCCTCCCTCCTCTCCTCCTAGTCCCAGCCCCTCAACTTCCCTATGCCCCCACCCCATTCATTCCTCCTACATTTCTGTTCAGGAAGGGGCAGTCCTCCCACGGATATCAATAAAACATGGCATATCAAGTTGTAGTAAGGATAAGCACCTCCCCATGCAAGGCGAGGCAAGGTGACCCAATATGAATAGTGGGGTCCCAAAACCTGGTAAAAGAGCTGAAGACAGCTCCTGTTCCCACCTTCAGGAATCCCACAAGAAGATTAAGCTACACAGCTGCAACATATATGCAGAGGGGCTAGGTCAGTCCCAAGCAGGCTCCCTGAGTGTTGGTTCAGACTCTGAGCTCCTATGAGCCTAGCTTATTAGATTCTGAGGGTGGAAATATAATTCTTTGTTGATTGATATTTCCTGTTAGCAATCTGATTGTTTTCATTTTGTATTCTAATCAATTTCTGATGAGAATTCAGCTCTTAAAGTGATTGAATATCCCAAGTCATTTCTACCTGGGTATTTTCAGTATTGCCTTTTGGACAGTTTTATTAAGTGTAGTTTTGTTTGTTTGTTATTTAGTTTGCATAACTTCTTGAAGATATATCTATATCTATATAAAGTTGGGAATTTCAGTCCATTGCTTATTTAAATATCCTTTTTTTTCTTTCTCCTGTTACTTTTTGTTACTTTTTTTGTCTCTTGTTTTGCATAGGTTGCTTTGCTTCATGGTATCTCCCACTGTCTATGCCTCTCTTCATTTCTCTTTATTCATCTCTTTGTTTCTCAGATTGTACAATTCATGATTTATTATTGTGACATACAGCAAGTACTAAATAATTGTTGACTGAAGCAAAGCTCCGAAAGCTCAGTCACCAGCTATGTCTCCAGGATGATCTCACAGAGGCTTTCATCTCTGGTTTAGTACTTTACTTCACTGGATCTTTGAGTTTTATGCTCATATCTATTTGATTCTTTACAGTGTTAATGCTATTTCACTTTGGAATCATTGCTATCTTCTCAATGAGCTTCAGTCACGTTCTCAGGTTTGTACAGCTGAGAAGACGTGATGCTGCATGTATATCTGAGTGGTTCTGTGGCATTCTCCCTGACCAGCTCTGGGCCAACGAAAAAGCTGCACATCTTTAATCTAATAAACTAAAGCAATAAAGTAAGATCATTCTGGAACCTGCATGGTTAGGCTCTTCAGAGATATCATGGGGGTGTGCCTGTCAACTTCAGACTATATAATTTCAATGGGCTTACTTTCAAGTTTCTTGACTTTTCTTCTGCCTGCTTAGCCTTGCGATTGAATCCTCTCAGGGAACACCTCATTTCAGTCTTCTGTTTTGATGTGTTTTGCATTTGTATGATTCATCAGTTGTGGAAAATTCTTAGCTATTATCTCCTAAAACAGTATTTCTTCATCTTCTCATTTTCTTCAGAAACTCTCCTTATGCTTAGCATTTATTAGACTCATTCACTTCCTCCTCCATGTTCATTCAGCACCTTCCTGTGGGTTCTATCTCTGTCTATGTGTGATTCCTTTCAGTCCTCAGTTCATCAGAGCTTTCATTTCTAGATGCCTATTTTGTCCTTTTCACGCCTGTCTTTGCCATTACTGTTCTACTGGTTCACATGCGTCCTAGTTCGCTTTCTGTTGCTGTGATAAAAACACTCTGACCAAAGGCAGCTTGCGGAGGAAAGGGTTGATTTGGTTTCCATGTCTCAGTCACAGTTCACGGTTGAGGGAAGGCCGGGCGGGAATTGAAGGTAGGAACCTGGAGATGGACTGAAGCCGAGACCATGGAGGGTTGCTGGCTTGTCCTTCATGGTTTGCTCAGTTTGTCTTTCTAAACAACTTTGGTCCATCTGCTCAGGCGCTGCAGGGCCACAGTGGGCTGGGCACGCCCACATCCATCATCGATTGTCAGTCCTCAGCAAGCATTGTCTCAGCCAGCATCTTCTCTTTCCAGATGATTCTAGTTTGTGTCAAGCTGATGAAAAGTAATCATAACAGCATTTTACAAAAATTCTTTAATTTTTCCCTCTAAAATTTATGTTTATGTTATTTAATTCATTATTCTAGTGCTTAAAGTCTTTGGTAGTAAAATTTATTCTGACCTGAACAGCAGTGTTTGATATTAGTTAATATGAATTCTTGCATAGTGTTCATATATACCGTCTTATCTGATGGGAGTACTCTCAGTATCTTCCTGTGGAAATAATGAAGTATTGGGTTTTCAGCTGCTTCCCATGGGGAAACAATGCAGTGTCAATATATACAGTGTTAATGTATTTCTAAATATAAGAAATACTAATTTCCAAAGCCTGCTTCTGATAAATTAAATATTATTTATTTAATATTTATAATTAATAATATTTAACATATTAAATATTAAACCGGGGATGTGATCCTGTATTATTAACAGTTATGATAATCACTATTATTAACTATTAGATGCATTTCACTGAATTTTTTACCCCAGTCTTCCCTGATACAATGATACAGAAGGAAGGAGGAAATACATTTTGCCCTTCTGTATATAACTACACTGAGTTCAGGCATCCAGGGCTTTTCGTATTTGCTAACAGTATAGGCTGATTGGAACTTAGAATGTTTCTACAAACACTACAATACTATTTGACTGCATTGTAATTATACTATTGTGTGCATGGATTTTAGCAATGTTTTTATTTTAATTCTAATTGTTGATTAAGACACATGAAACCTGATTGAATGTAAAATCACAGCACTTTCTGACCCAGTCATTTCTATTTCATTTGGTTTCCATGAATATGAGTCTGTTCTATCAAGTTAAGTTGGGCAGTGATGGTGCGTGCCTTTAAGTCCAGCACTCGGAGGCAGAGGCAGGTAGATCTCTGAGTTCTGAGTTGGAGACAGGAAGATTTCAGGGTATTTGAGGCTAGTTGGGCTACAAAAAGAGTTCTGGAGCAAACAGGACTGCTGAATTAAACTTGTCTTAGAAAAAAAAAACAAAATCCAAAGCAAAACCTTAAAGTATTATTGTAGTGTGCAATAATCTTTTCTATGTATCTGTTTCCCCATAATTCACAGATTCCATTGAGATTTAATTGGTGATTCTATGAGGCCATATTTGGCACACTGAAAATATACAGAAGAATTAGAACTGTTAGTTTGAGGTCTTTTGGATTGTTGAAGGCCACTGTGAGAAGAGAAATGATAAGTATAAAGAATAAATTTTATTTTACATACAAATGTTTTCAAATGTGGTGACAGGAAGGAGCTACTGGTCTTCTCTATTAGAAGGTCCAAGTCTTTTTCTTAGCCTTCTCATGGCTGACTTCATCTCCTGGTTTCTCAGAGTGTAGATCAAAGGGTTGAGCAAAGGGGAGATGACCGTGAAGGTGACAGAGATGGCTTTGTCTGTGGGGAGGGCAGTGAATGGTCGGGCATAGACATAGATGCAGGGTACAAAGTGCAGGGTGACCACAGTGATGTGGGAGGTGCAGGTGGAGATGGCTTTCTTCCGTCCCTCTCCTGAATGAGACCGAAGCATCATCAGAATGACTGTGTATGATATCACCAACAACATAAACCACAGAGTAGCGACCAGGCCATTGTTGGAAATCATCATCAGCTCCAGAACAAAGATGTCTGTGCAGGCAAGTTTGATGACCTGGGGGACATCACAGTAGAAAGTGTCAAGAATATTGGGTCCACAGAATGTAAGTGTCAGCAAGAGAGAAATCTGCACTATGGAGTGGATAAAGCCTCCCACCCATGAGGCCACTATTAACCCAATGCAACGGCCTCTGCTCATGATGGTCACATAATGGAGGGGCTTGGAGATGGCCACATATCGATCTAGAGCCATCACTGACAGAGAAAACACATCCACTCCTCCAATAAGGTGGAAGAAGAACATCTGAGTGAGGCAGCCATTGAAGGAGATGCTCTTCCTGTCTGAGAGAAGGTCCACCAGGACCTTGGGTGCAGTGATGGAGGAAAAGCAGATGTCGGCAACAGACAAATTCCTGAGCAAGAAGTACATGGGGGTGTGAAGGCGCGACTCACAGGTCACGGTGACCATGATGAGAAGGTTCCCCAGCAGAGTTGTCACATACACCACGAGAAGGAAAAGGAACAGCAGCACACTGACTTCAGGACTCTGGGTCAGGCCAAGGAAAATAAGTTCTTTGACCCTGGTGTAGTTTTCCATCTCCATTAAATCAGTGTCTTTCTGAACTGTTTTATTTCAAGCCTCTGCATGTTTATCTTGCTTTTGTAAGATCCTAGGATGAAATTGAGTCCTGCTTTTTCATAGTGCTTAAAAGTGATCAAGTCTTCTGCATTTTAAATATTGTAATCAGTTTCGTAATCAAATGAAATTACCACCCACAAAAGAGTTATTATTTCCCTACAGAACAATGTTAGGAAAGAAAATATATTAAGTATTGACACCTAAGCATCATCTTCTAAAAAGAAAACATTACTGAGGTACAATTTAATACTTTATCAGGAGTTCTCTGCTTTAATAAATTTTATTCATGTTTCTTGGTCAGTTATCTTACTATGGTGGTTGCAAGTTGACTTTTTAAGAACATAGTGCCATATTCAGGTTCCTGTGTTTGTTCCCATTGTGTTGACACTGTTATTAATTTTCTACATTATACAGATCACATTTGGACAAAGGACATGTGGAAGTTTTGGATATCTGAAACACAATTTTTTTCCCCTAAAAGGAGAGCCATACTTATAGAGAGGGAGGGAGTTTGAACACTGTATTAGGACAGTGTAGCACTGAATTTACTCCTTCATATTCTGCCACTGATTAGCTGGGTGGTGGGGGTTCTGAATTATCCACTGTGGATTCTATGGACAATACTGATCTGAGCAATCAGGGAAAAGGAGGAAGCTGGGTCAAGGGGGTCTCACATGGAAGGCCAGAGGATTGAAAAAGGATGTAGCTTCCTGTGACTTATTGTGGGTTCCCAATTTCAGCCTTTGCCAAAGGAAAGGCACCGACTGGAGATTTGTTTCCCTCTCCTGTTGTGGTCCTCATTCTCCTCTCCTGTCTACATCATCATCATCATATCCATTTGTAGATTGCTGAGGAAGAGCCACTGTGGAGTTAGGGTTTTTGGACAATCTTCTCATCTCAAAGATGGAGGTATCCTGTGAAGGGCTCACTTGTGTATTCCTATGAAGAAGGGGATTTTAATTATTTCTAGTAGTTGAAGAAAGGTGAACTATTTCCCCCAAACTCAATGCACTGCTACATTGTTAAAGTACAATTCAGTATGATTATGTTTGTTTCCAAAGCCATTTGTACAACAGCAATTGTACAAAAATTTAGCAGGATTGTGTTATTTCTTCAAGTCAATTTTAGAGTTAAAGACAGTAGAAAAATGTCTCAAATGAGTTACTTGTTTAAAGAATTGTAAAGTTTCCAGGTAAATCTGGAGTTAGCACAAAAACACCCTCGTGTATTACAAATCTGTAGGAGGAGTTCCTGTAAGGCTGTAGAGCAGACCATGTTCAGAAAATGGAGCCAGACTCCCTCAAGTTAGATTCAGTTGCATTCCTCACACTGAATTGATTAGGAATTTCAGAGGTAAACATTTAGCCCTTTGGTCCTTTCTCACACATTTGTGGTGCTTACAGCACTGCGGGGGTTGGACTTACACTCACAATGCAGACACAAGTGCAGCGAAGTTTTCCTCTGGAAAAATGTTCAGTCTGGTGGAAACACAGGTATTTAAGTCAATCCACAGCCATGGGAACCACAGCAGCGTTCTATCTAGGGCTGGTGTGGGAAGGGTTTCTAGAGGAGACAAAGATTGTCACAGTCAGGAAGAAAAACAGAGGTGGAAAACCAACACCAGTCAGTGGTGAAATGGCACAGCCATGCAGAGAACACAGAAAGCAGTGCAGTCCATCAGTGTAGGGAGTGCACAGAGAAGGGACTTCTCTGGGAAGCAGACCGTCCCTTCAGTCATCACCTCAGCCAGACATATTTCATTCTCAGTTGCATTCCATGCTTCTTAGATATTGTTTGATAAAGGAATGAGTGATTTAAGCCCATTACCTCCTATGTCTGTATTTCATGCAAGCTGGCTTGCATAATCAGGAGGATATAGAAACAGAATGGATGTGTATTGTCCCTCCCCTCCAACTTCAGGCTATATGATTTTACATACTGTCTTACAGGGACATTTGAAAACATCTGGCTGAAGAATCTCATTTGACAGAAACTCCTTACATTGGTTTGAACATGCAGCAACGACGCAGTAAGCAACTGAAAGACTCTCAACAAATTCCAAATGACTTATATATACGGCATCACAATTCTACATCCTTTTAAATGCATTCGTACTAACAATATTTGACACCCACCTCTGTTGTGTTTGCCAGTGAGATGATCATCTTTGGCCTGAAATATGTGATATACCCAGAAAATATTCAAAGTCAACCTTGTTAAACGTAGTCAATGACAGCATTTGAATTTCAACAATCCAACCTTACTGTTAGATAGCTAGCTACTAAACATCTTTACCTGTTACCTTTCATTCTAAAACTTCAAGTGAAAATTATATGCAATTTGGTGCAGCATTCAACAGCATTAATTTTTGAAAAAAAAATGTACTAGTGAAGATTTCATTGTCTTTGCTCCATTTTTCAGGAGAGGGATGGCAAACTCAAGGATTTGCCTATTTAAGGTTCTTGAACTTAGACAGTGTTTCTGTCTTATGCTCAAACCCCTTAACCTCAGGCTTAATGTAAGAATGACAAAGGGAATGTCATTGGGCAGGGAAGTAGCTGTAACTGGTTCTGGTATTGATGATGTGGTTTCAATGGGACTCATTAAAATGCTATCAAAACTCGTGTGCACACCACACACACACATCGACACATTTTGGCTGGTGTCCGAATTCCTGAGAGGCCATAGAAGAGACTATTTGATTTGTATATTCAACATTTTGCCCTGGGATCATGTATTGTATCCTGATCCCTTAGTCTCAGGCCTATTATGAGAGTTAGAAAGAGGGTAACTGTCAGGCAAGGATGTGGAATTGAAGTGGCGAGTTTCACTGGTGGTGATGAAATTTCAGTGGTAATTATTAAGTTGTTGTTGACAGATACACTGATATATAAAGAAACAGTGACCTGTTATGGAAAAAACCCACTACAATGTCTGTGTCCAGGTTGTCTAACGACAGGAGAGCAATCAAATCCATCCCCACATTTCCAGTTTATTCTGCTCTGATAAAGCATGCCAAAAACATATCTAAAAACTTCTGGGCCCCTTTTCATCTTCCCAAAAGCATGAAAGATGTGCATTTGAATATGTATATCCTTGTAACATGAAAACAAGCTGTGAAGAACTTAGAAAGATTGAACCTCTAGTGGTCTCATAACTCTTCACACCAAGCAGAAAACAATAGAGACTCCCGAACCTATTTGTTGCTATTTCTAGGGCCACGAACTCTGTTCCCTTACAGTGATCCAGGAATAGACAAACATTTAGTTTGACTTTTTAATTTCTTTTCCAGACATTTTTCTAGTGTAGTTAATGAAGAGCAACTGTTATGAAGAAAGGAGCAGGATCAATACAGGTAGAAGAGGCAAGGGTACCCTTGTCAAAATGATTAATGGTTTCACAAATGGAGCATAGTAAGACAGAAGAGGGGCCTTTGGGCCATGTAATACATCTTGTTGAAGAGGAATTTGAATAAACATGCCATTATATTTGTTATGTAAGAATAGCATTTGAAGCTAAAAATAAAATTGGAACAAAGCCATAGTCACATATACACCAGAACCATTTTCACCTGGTTGGCCATGCCTTCCTCCCAGAGCCAGGATGTTGTTTGGGCCCAAACTGCTGCCAAGGGCCATGTCTGGGTCCGTGGTCCAGCAGTAGCTGGGGTCTATGTTGATGTCTGTGATCAGTGTCCCCTCAGGAGGCCTTAGGAAGCATGTGAGATGAAATCAGAGGGCTATGCTGATCTGGCCCCGCCCCTTCACCGCCCTGAGAAAACTGATGCTACCTGTCCCTGGCCACTACAACCAGAGAATTGGCCCTTGCACTTGAGAGAGAGGACACCCACCTCTCACCAGAAGTGAAGATGAATCTTCTCTGAGGGCACGCAAATAGGGTAGCTAACTTCACTCCTGCATTCGAGGTGGGTGGCTCCGGTGGTTCAATCTGACCCAACAGGGCTTTGGGTTGACCCACCCTAGAATCTACCCCATCAGGGTCCTGCTGAAGCTCGTGAAGGGACTGGTTCTTTGGAGCAATACCCTCAAGATCTCCAAGACTCAGTGCAGCCACAGAATACGCCCAGAGGAACTCTAGTGAGGATCCAGTGAGCAAAACCACAGACCTTGAATCAGACAGGTTACTCATTGCAATGAACATTCACTAGCCAAGCTCATGGGACAAAGAGGTATACTATATGACACACTGAAGCCTCCAATGCTATCAGGTTGGATGAAGAGGTGATGGAGAGGCAGAAAAGAAGGAGAAGCAGAGATTTTTCTGAGTGTGACTTTTGTTTTGTTTTACTGAGTTTTTTTTTGTTCTTGCTTTTGTTTGCTTGCTTACTTTGCTTTGTTTATTTTTTTGTGCGGGGCACAGCAGGGAGGAGGAGGGATATGGGGGGACCTGGAGGTGAACAGAATTGGGGTGCATACTATAAAATCCAAAATATTCAATAAAGTTACAAAAAAATTGGAACAATAAATAAACAAATATGAAACAGGAACTACCATTCAACCAAACATATTGAAGCCTTTCATTATGATTACAATGTATTTGGTGTAGGAGTTCCTTCTGTTTGCGTGTTCCTTTCATTGGTTAATGAATAAAGAAACTGTCTTGATCTAGTTGATAGGGCGGATCTTAGGTAGGCAGAGAAATCAGAATTGAATGCTGGGAGGAAGAAGGGCAGAGTGAGAGAAGCCATAGATCCTCTGCCTAAGATGGACACTGGTTAGATTCTCTGGTAAGCCACTGCTACATGGCGATACACAGATTAATGGAGATGGGTTAAACTAATATGTAAGAGTTAGCCAATAAGAAGTTAGAGCTAATGGCCAAGCAGTGTTTTAATTAATACAGTTTCTGTGTGGTTATTTTGGGTGTAAGCTAGCTGGGCAGCTGGGGCAAACAAGTGGCCCCACTCCTTGTAACATGTATTCCTTAAAATTTATTTCTTAAAG